GACTCATTAAATGGGGTTGGCATAAAAATATATATATATAGAGAGAGGTATTTTTACACATTGAACAAACAATTTTACCACATAAAAAAGCAAATTAACTATTCTTACGATATTTAACAATTTTCAAAGAAATTCAATTCACAGAAATTTATTATTGTCTGTTCAATAATCAATTCTCTATTTACTAGTAAGTTAATTCAATATTCAATTTATACATTTAATTTGTTGAGTGCCAAATTTTTCTGAAATATTTTCAAAAATAATTTCTCCATTGTAATTAAAACAAACTTAATAAAAAACCGTGTAACATATCAGTAGTAACGATGAATTAGTTTTGCGATAATTTTGTATGTAAAAAAATCTAGGAGGGTAAAGTAATTTTGTCACCATTTTGGGTAATTGTAAGAGGAAAATTATATTTGTTACAGATTATCTGTGCATTCATTCTTTGTATTCTCTGAAATTCTAATCTTCTGAATTCTTCACGCGCTTCATCTTTCTCTTTTTAAGTTTGTTTTTACTAGTTTGTACTTTGTTGAATGAAAATATCTTTAAACCGCAATCTCTTTGATTACCACTAATACTTCTACTACCTCAACTATTATAGGGTTTGAATTGCGAATTCCATGTCTTTCTGTGTTAATATGTTATGGCAACTTGAACTGATGTATGTAGGTACCTGCGTACGAAGTTCTACGTTGTAACCGGTTGACTTACATGGTAGAGTGTATAAAGGGAGGTACATTTATCGTAAATGTGTGAGTGAAACTATTGTGGTCAGCGATCTGCTGATAAAATCAGATAACTTTAAAAACGAGATGTCAATAAATTAAAATAGTTGTGTGACTGTTTTCAATCCAACTGACAGTTTATTACATAATCAGATCATACCAGAGGATTAAAGCAAACGAACGCTACAGATCAGAAATGTGAGAGTTCACGTTTACTTATAAATCTTTGCTAACCATAGGATTGTTAATTCTATTCCATCCGCCCTGCCAAAATTGTCTGGATTACCAAATTTATTATAAAGCTTCAGACGTGAGTCTTTCTTTTTGTATGAATTAAAGAGATTCTAGAATATTCATGTGCGGCTGAAATCAATGGTAGATTCTATCCAGTGTAATGGTATCAGTGACTTGTTCTCTAGCTATGTGCTTTAAGCGAAATTTGTGTTCCTTCACTCTCAATAAATGCCCTAGTATATTCGAGATTGAACTTCTACATGAAATATTCTCATGCCGTCACGTGTATATAGCCAGTGTCAGAGAAATTCTAATAAATGTCTTTTTAGTGGCAGAGGTGATATTCACGAAACTGAGAGATTCTTTATTCTAAGGTTAAAAACCCTCATTACAAACTGATGACAATGTACATGAGCTCTAGGATCCAGAGAGAACGAATGAAGTTTCAGCCTAATAACGAACACTGACAACCAGGGGACTTCTCCGCTGGTCTTATGGATCAAACATTTAAGTCAAAAGCTAGGGCTATGGATCCCTAAGAAAACTAGCTGCTTTAGTTTGGCCCCTTGCATAGTATCCAAGCTCACTTACAAATTCAATACTTTGTGAAGCATATACATATTTAGATTTTTCTGTTTGCATCGATTCTGATTTGAGACAAAATATATATGAATAAATCAAAGTTAATGATTATTCCTTAATTCAAAATGTTTATAAATTAAATACAAACGCCTACAACTGATCAGTCAGTTTCATTTGGTATATTTACACTCTGTATGGATTGTATTGATGTAGGCTTTAAGTTACAGACATAATTTGGCAATGGACTCTCAGATTCATGTTGCATCCGATTTGAGATTTATCTCAAGTCCCACATAGAAAGAAATACACTTCCTGTATTCCATTACTGGCCAGGATCTATCGTTGTTAAGAATTATACCGAAGTTTGAAATTAAAATTCACTTAAGTAAACTGTTTTAGTAGAAAGAAGATTTGTTAAGGAACTAACTAGTTGATTATGACGCTTTAACATGGAATAGTTTAGAATTGATGACACAATCTATGATGAAATGTCATATTTTGAATTCATTGAAAATTCTTTGCTATATAACTTTCTAATACGTTTGTAAAAAAGATTCGCCTGTCATATAATCACTATTGTAAATCCGTACTGATTAGTATCTTCATATCTAGTTTTTATTATGAAAATATCACCTAGCTTACTTACTTACACCACGTTACCCCCTCTGAAGGAGCAAAGGCCGCCGACCAGCATTCTCTAACCTACTCTGTCGCCCACCGTCCTTTCTAATTCTGTCCAATTATTGTTTATTCCTGTCATGTCTGTTTCCATTGCTTGGTGTAATGTGTTCTTTGGTTGTCCTCTTTTCCTTTGACTTTGGGGATTCCAGGTATGGGCTTATCTTGTGATGCTTTCCACAATGTGTGTCCTATCCACTTCCAGCGCTTTTTCCTTGGTTTCTTCGTCCGCCAAAAAAAGGGTTTGTTCTTTCTCCAAAAACCGAAATGAGGTATTTCGCGTAGCCAACTGCTAATAAACACTTTTATCTTATCTTATCTTTGATAGTTCTCTAAGTTTTCACCCCGTACAGTAGAACTGTCTTGACATTTGTACTGAAAATTGTGGCTTTGGTTTCGGTTGACAGTTGTTTTGATTTTCAGATGGTCTTCAGTTGTTGATATGCTGCCCTTGTTAACATCACCGTGTAAATTGTCTAGATTTGTACAAAAGATGAATATCTTTAGCCTTGGTAATCTTACTAGTTAATATTCTCGTCAACAAAACATATCCAAAATCTCAAATAAACTGATATGCAAGCTTCATCTAAACAGCATATTACAGAAACTGAAGGTGAGATATTTTTTTCCATAGCTCATTCGATTGAATCATATCGCGCGTAGCCATTAAAAATGCAAAGCCATACATTGAATTTTTAACGCAGTCATCAAAAGTGGTAAGTGAGTGAGTGAGTGAAGCCGACGCCTTATTTAAACAAATAACTTCATCAATTCAAGAGTCAATAACGAGAAAAAAAATAGAACAAACCAATTTTGATAACTAGTAAATAGTACTTTTATCCTTTATCAAAGAGGAACTAAGGTGTATTGATGATACTCCTTAACTTGTATTCATATTTGTTATTGTTTGTCATTGTGTTTTTCAAACACTTTAATTATTTACATTTTCCGGTTACTTAAGACAAGTTGATTAAAAAACAGGAAATAAGAATTAATTTAATGAATTAAATTTAAAAAAATTATTTTTTATTCATAATAATAACTATTATTATTATTATTATTGAGTAATTTTAGAATAATATAACTAAAACTACAATCATCTTGTAAATATGACCAATGAAAATTGTTTATTTTTCCAAAGAAACAATGAAACATTGTTTGGTTGAGCTGATGGCAGAAAAATAACAATATTTATATAACTCTCTAGTGAGAAAGTAATCATAAAAATGTACTCACTGATGAATAGTTTTGTGGAGAGGAATCTGTGAGGAATCCGAGTTCTAGTGAGAAGATGTATAACTAGTGGAATTCAACCTTGTACGAGTGTAGGCAGTTACCCTACTTACTTACTTACTTACTTACGCCTGTTACCCCCAATGGATTATAGGCCGCCCACCAGTTTTCTCCAACCAACTCTGTCCTGGGTTTCCCTTTCCGGTTCTCTTCAATTTTTGTTCATTCCTCTCATATCTTTCTCTATTTCTCGGCGTAATGTATTCCTTGGCCTTCCTCTTTTCCTTTTGCCTTGAGGGTTCCATGTGAGGGCTTGTCTTGTGAGGCAGTTTGGTGCTTTTCGCAGTGTGTGTCCCATCCACTTCCACTGCTTCTTCCTCATTTCCTCCTCCACTGGAATCTGGTTTGTTCTCTCCCACAGTATGTTGTTGCTGTTGGTGTTTGGCCAACGAATACGAAGTATTTTGCGTAGACAGCTGTTAATAAACACTTGTATCCTCTGGATGATGGCTTTGGTAGTTCTCCAAGTTTCCGCTCCATACAGTAGAGCTGTCTTGACATTTTTTTATTGAAAATCCTGATTTTGGTTTTGGTTGAAAGTTGTTTTGAGTTCCAGATATTTTTCAGTTGTAGAAATGCAGCCCTTGCTTTGCAAATCCGTGCCCTCACATCTGCATCGGATCCACCTTGATTGTCGATGATGCTGCCAAGATAGGTAGGCAGTTACCCTACTGAAGATAAATGAGTGAGGTTGTACGAAATCTCTAGATTGATAAGAGTCAATGATCCAGAGGTTAAATGTCCGCGTGTAAGACCGAGATACTTGGATTCAAATCCTGTGAGTAGCCGGCCAGTTTGGTTGCGCTTTGCCACTGATGAGTAGTCCCGTGTAAGGACATAATGGCCATTCAATTGCTTGAGTGATTTTTCATGGTGGTCTAACAATGATTTCGCCATGATTTCAATCATAGATAGAGAAGGAAAATTACAATTCATTCGGATTAAATTTTGTGATTTTCAGCTGTTTATTTTTCCAAGAAATTAGTTAACTATGAAACGGTGTTTTGTTTGAGCTGGTGGCATAAACAACAATTATTATAAAACTCTCTAGTGAGAAAGTAATCATAAAAATGTACTCACTGATGAGTAGTTTTGTGAGGAGGAATCTGTGAGGAATCCGAGTTCTAGTGGAAGATGTATGACTAGTGGAATTTAACTTTGTACGGGTGTAGGCAGTTACACTACTCAAGATAAATGAGTGAGGTTGTACGAAATCTCTAGATTGTTAAGAGTCAATGATCCAGAGGTTAAATGTCCGCGTGAAAGATTAAAATACGTGGATTCACATCCTGTGTAGCCGGCCAGTTTGGTTGCGCTTTGCCACTGATGAGTACTCCCATGTCAGGACAAAATTTATTTGTCATATACAAATAGAGTTCATCTAATGTTATTTGAATTGTTGTAAATAAGTCATAAAATTGAAAGTTTTGAATTTTAATCGAATACTTGTCATTAAAAAAAGTGTTTTCTCTAATCTTGATGATGGTTATCATTCAATGAAACATTGAAAATAAAATAGTATTGAATAAAATTGAACGTTGAACAGGAACCGCTTAGTTGTATGAAAATTATAAAATGTTTTCTATTGGATATTGTTTATTGAATGACTTTTAATTGAATAGAAATAGAAATGAAAATTTAAAATTTGAATGAAATCACTAAATGATTAGTTTGAACAAATGAATTTTATATCGACTGAACAAATGGCGTATGAACTTACTGTGGATCACCGGTTAACATAGATAGGACTGCTCCGCTGATCTTATGCATGAAACTTTTAAGTTGAAGGCGAAGAAAATTAACTGCTTTGACGAGGCCACTCGCATAGTATCCTAGCTCACTCACAAATCCAATACTTTGTGAAGCATATACATATTTAGATTCTTCTGTTTGTATCGATTCTGATTTGAGACAAAAGAAATATGAAAAATTCAAGGTTTATGATTATTCCTCAATTCAATATGTTTATAAACTAAATACCAACGCCTAAAACTAATCAGTCAGTTTCATTTGACATATTCACATTCTGTGTGGATTGTAGCCTTTCGGTTATAGGCATAATTTAGCAGTGGACTCTAAGTATCATGTTGTATCCTATTTGAGACTTGTCTGAAGTTGGATATAATTGTCAAATCTCAAAGTTGATGTTCATTTCGGAATCCAAGTCACAAACAGAAAGAAATACACTTCCTGGATTCCATTGTTGGCTGATTAGTTTGAACAGATGAATACTACATTCATTGAACAAATGAATAGCTTTTAAGACTCATTCACTAAGTGGATAACGCAGTGCTTTCTCAAGTGAACAATCCTAAGTTCAAGTCCTGAACTAGTAGGTACATTCAACTGAAGACAACTCCTGAATAAGATTGAAATTCGAATTATGGACTATTCTTCTGATCACATTCTATGTAAACTGAACAATAATATTCATTTTTCAGAAGGGCTAGAAACATAATATTAGTTTCATATCAGCCGTTCACTTGAATGAAAATAATTTTAGTGTTTAACCACTACTACTACTACTACTACTACTACTACTACTACTACTACTACTACTACTACTACTACTACTACTACTACTACTACTACTACTACTACTACTACTACTACTACTACTACTACTACTACTACTACTACTACTACTACTACTACTACTACTACTACTACTACTACTACTACTACTACTACTACTACTACTACTACTACTACTACTACTACTACTACTACTACTACTACTACTACTACTACTACTACTACTACTACTACTACTACTACTACTACTACTACTACTACTACTACTACTACTACTACTACTACTACTACTACTACTACTGTAGTGAACGAGAACACAGGTGGGGCAACCAAATTGTATTTAACGAAAATTACAGCGTTACTCAGTAAAATTGGAAAACCATATCGTTAATCGTTAATTTGCAAAATATCAGTCCATCATATCGAACTGGACTGTTCCTGTTGCAAAACATCAATCTTTTTGTCACTATTCATGCGTTTCATACAAGTTCCATTGTGTTCTAACTCTTCCTTTCTTGATCTTTCCCCATCTTCTGCTGCCAGACATTACGTTGACGCTCACGTCATATACTACTCATAAGTAGTTCACACAACACCAGTGAACTACTAGGCCAGCATCCAGTCGCTGTTATATCTGTCTTACTTGAATGAATTCACGATATTGCGTGGTCATCATCCATTCTGTTTGGTGAGTAACTGCCTCACACTAGATACAGCTGAATTCAACTGACTAAATCTCTAAACAGTTCCTTCAAGTAGCTCTAATCACTTGTCTAAACATAAATTCCTTAGCATTTAAACTGATGTTTTGGTTTAAACAAACATTTGTGCTATATTTATATACATCATTATGCTCAACTGTCGATCTGTGAATTTTGTTGACCATTATTGAATTTCTGTGAAAATTCAAACAACCACTTCTCTCTAAAACTTAAATGTAAACTTTCTCATAATGAAATTAAATGTTTAAAAAATAAACAGGTACAACAATACAATTATTTATTTATTTCAAAATGGGTTAAATGTTCAATAGGGACGATTGTTAAAACAAAAATAATAAAACTCACATTCTTTATCTCTGTTCAATGCCATTGAATCATATTTTTAATTCGTTGTTTTAATTATGGTTGAATGAGTAAATACGTAAATAAATAAATCACTGTTCAATATTCAATTTTTCTAAAAAAAATCTACTGAAACGACTGATCAGTGATTGAAATCTGTTTTTATGTTGTGCACACGTGTATACGTAAAATTCAATGTACAATGTTTAGTGAGTAAGTAAACTTGATTGGACATTTAACGCGACTGATCAATCGTGATGTGTTCATTCAAAAAAAATAATCATGTATATTATGTTTTCAATTTTCTGCAAATTTTTTTTGAAAAAATAAATCTATTTTACAGCTTTGTAAATGCACATTTTTAATATAATTATCTGATTGACAGTTGTTTTATTTTTGATACGAATTGAATTTTGAAATAATAAACAGGGTTTTGTTTTTATTTACTGAAATATAATAATAATAATCGTAAAAATAATGATAAATTATTTGTAAAATTTAATAGGATGATTTAATTTAGATTATTGTCTTTAAAATTAGATTGCTTACTTACTTACTTTCGCCTGTTACCCCCCCAGTGGAACACTTCCAGCGCTTCTTCCTGATTTCTTAATATGTTGGAACGTAGTTTGTTGTCGATGATAGTATCCGGTGAACGGATGTTCAGCTTTTTGTGTAGACACCTGTTAATAAACAATTGTATCTTATGAATGATGGCTTTCTTGGTTCTCTTTGTCTCTGCTACATACGGTAGAACTGTCTTGTCATTTATATAAAAAATTCTGATTTTGATGTTTTTCGGTATTTACTTTGAGTTCCAGACATTCTTCAATTGAAGATATGCTGTTCAAAACTAAATAATTTATTTATAAAACTTTGATTGTGACTAAAGATGTCTATAAATCAAAAATCCGCTTAAAATCAAATTACAAGGAGAGTAGTACATTTAGTTAAAACGGTGAAATTTTCAAATGAAACATTCTTGATTTCTAACAATATGGCATTATTTTTATTACACGTATAAAATCGAAATGACGATGTTTCAATAATTTCCCACATTTTTTCGCCTGTATGTTTGTTTGTTTTAACGCATCACTTATGTCTATTCAGTTGATCATTTGTCGTGAGGCGCGTGTTTTAAACAGTTTATAAGTTATCGCTTCCTAAGTTTTACAAGAACAAAGTACAATCCTAAAATTATTGAAGTGGCTGGGAGGAAAATGAAACTTGTTTTAAAATGTTCCATGATAAGAATCACATCTGTTGTACTGAACATATACTCATGGATGAAACTATCATACTCATCATTATTCAGACTAAGGTATATACAACATGTACCAAAGTTATTCAGTTTGATAATAAACTGTATTTTAGTTTTTATTTAAAAATCTACTCCAGTTAGAATTCGATAAATGACCTCTTACTGTTAGGATAATTTTAAAGTGTTCTGGATATTGTGAGGAGAAGATTTCTGAGAAAGCATATATAGAAATGTAAGCGCATAGAAAATATTTTTAAGTTCTATGATATAATATTTTCCAAGTCAAATATTGAAAACAGTTTTATATTTGTAAATAAAACTGACATGTAGAAGTAAGGCATAAATGTCACTTCACTTATTGACGTGAAGATGATGTTGTTCAGAAGAGCCCTTGAAAGCTCCACCACAACGAAAACATTCAACTGAGTGAATGAAACTCCACCTACCATGATAAAAGTTATACTTTAGTCAATAAAGTTTGTTTGTTACTGTTGACTGAAATTGAAATACTCCAATGAAAATTTTGAAGTATATGATCGGTTGATTGAAGTGGGATATAAACACCGTCGGATGCCTCTGGCTCAGTGGTCCGCGTACAAGGACTTAGGTCCTGGGTGCGAACCCTGCGATTAGCAGTAGTCGTGCGGGTGCGCACTTCCACTGATGAGTTGTCTCATACCAAGAAGAAATGACCATGAGTGGTTGAATTATTTTCAGTAATAAACAGCAATCTCTTCATAACTGTGGAATTGAAAATCTTACAATGTGCTCTTTTAGAAAGTTCTCAAAGTTCTAGTAAGTAGACCTGACTAGTGAAGTTCAACCCTGTCGAGTATAGGCAGTAACTGCCAAAGACAAATTGGTGACGTTTCTCAAAATTTAGAGAGAGAGAGAGAGTGTAGCAGGAGTCATGTGGATGTGCACTTCCACTGATGAGTAGTAGTCCCATACCAGCACGAAACAGCCATCCTTCAGTGATTAATTCCAGATTTCTTCTAATAAAAAATCTAACACACAATGATTCATTCATAACAATATTTATTACTTCCATTTTTCTAAAAATCATCTGAGATAATTAGCTTACAGAATAATAATTATTATCATAATAAAACAAATGGACACAAAAATGTCTAAGAATCATTTGTCAAAACATTAATTTATCGCTGTTGAATGATCTACGCGTTAACTATATTTAGATCGAATATTGTTCTAATTTTACATTTTCATCCAAACTAACTCACTAACTAACTAAAAACATTTTTTGTTTGTTTGTTTGTTTGTATGATCATTTAATTGTTTTAAACAAGTGCATTACATCATTCATTCATTGGACATTGAACGAAATTCGCATATTCTCACCTACATAAATCATCTGTCTGGCTAAAATGATTTATGATTGACAGTAATAATAATAATAATAATAATAATTATTATTATTATTATTTGTTCTGTCTAACTGAAACAAATCAGAGAAAAAAAAGGCTGTAGAAAGAAATTATCTCAAGTAGTTTGTTTAAATGACGTCGTTTAGTTTCCATTCATAAATATTGGTTATTGAACAAAGTTTTATTTATGATTGCGTTTTTTTTTCTCTCTAGATATTTTTTTGTCTACATAATTCGTTTTCTTTCTTGCACTCTGTGTGCTTCTCCTATTCCTACCTCACTCTTTCTCACTAACTCACTCACTCTCTCAGCCTATTGTTGTTCTTTGAGTGGACAGAAAAATGTAACACTATTCAAATGGTTGAAATTACCTTCTTCATTATCGTTTTGTTCTTCAGTTTAATTTATTGTCTCAATAAACTATTGAACATTTGACAAATCATGAATAAATTTCTAGTTCGTCTTGGTTATAGTAAAGTTTCGCCAGTTGTTTTTGAAAAAAAAATACAGTGAAATTGTGAAGTTGAAAGAACTGAACGGTTTGTTTTGTTCTAAAATGAGATACATTTAGTAGTGGTAGTTTGGATTAAGGATCTCATACAAGGGAATCAAACGCATCACCTTCGGTCTCGTGTGCAAACGAATCATTTGTTGACCACTGAGTTGTCATCCAACGGTGTTAATGTCCCACTCATCAGGTTGTGTATGCACACTGCTAATGAGTCCTATGCTAGAGCTAAGCGACCATTCAGTGGTGCTAGCTTTCTAGTGATGGCCCAACATCTTTCGGTTCATGGTCCCAATCAACAAAAAGAGTACAATGAACATTGTAAAACGTCTATTTACTATCATAATCATAGTAAGAATGAATTATTGCAGGTTTGTCTTAAATAAAAGTATGTATGACAGATGATTACGAGTTCGAATAAACAAAAATAACTTCAATATGTTATAATCTAACATTTTTCAAAAGCATGCTATAATAATGCCGAATCAGATCGGATTCTTGAACTTGAAAGCTTGAACAAGCTGAGCACGCTATGATTCAGCAACTAAGCATATAAGACCATCATATTCTTGATGGCCAGCCCTGTTGAATTAAACTACACATCTCTAGAAATATACCATCAAGTTATCACTTACTAACTAATTAACTAACTAACTAACTAACTTACTTACTTACTTACTTACTTACTTACTTACTCACTTACTTACTTACTTACTTACTTACTTACTTACTTACTTACTTACTTACTTACTTACTTACTTAATTACTTACTTACTTACTTACTTACTTACTTACTTACTTACTTACTTACTTACTTACTTAACTATTAACTTACTTACTTAAGCTTGTTAACCCTAATTGAGCATAGGCCGCTCAAGTTATCACGGTTAGGCAAAATTCCTACTACAATGAGGTAAATTCCAGAATTATTATTCAAATATTATAGTATAAATAAAGGCTAACAAACATGTAGTCTTGATGAAAATGAAACTTTTAACAAGTTTCCATTTATAAAACAATCAGTGATCGGTAGTTGGAAGTAAATAGTTCAAGAACTGACATTTTACATAACAGTCATTCATTTCTTAGCATATTGGTAGCCATTAAGACGTCTTGAATTATTATATTTTCGTAAATTGTTAAGCGATAGCTTGTAAACTTATGAAATACTCGCCTGAGTAGACAGACTTAATTGAAGGTATCCCAAAATATTCAAACAGGCTGACGTATTACAAAAAATAATGTAAGAGGGGAATATTTTCCGTAATAACTTTCAGTGTTCATTATCTTTTGTCCGAATGTATAAACTTATAAAAAGATTGAATTATCTGGACTTAAGCTAATTGATAATTACTGTTACCTGGTTGACCCTATCATGCGAAATATCATGTGCACATTGGTGACTAACTAAGTGAGGAAGTTTCTCCGAGTTATAGTGAGAAGTAGTGATCAGTGTAGTTCAACCCTGTTTTGGTGTGAAGCACTACTCACCGAAGACAGTGGATGAGGTTGAGCAACACCGTGGATGGAACTGAGTTAGACAGTAACACCGTTAGATACCGGTCCAGCAGTTTAGAGGTCATGCGTTCGAGAGCAAGACCGAAGGCCTTAGGTTCCAATCCTGTTAATTGTAAAAATCGTGGATGCGCACTGCTACTGATGAACGAAACAACCTCACGGTAGATCGATTAAGTCATCTTAGTAATTTCAAACAAATCAATACATTAACTTCAATCTTTATAAATTTCAAAATCATTTTCTAATGAAATCGATGATACTTCATATTTCAACAAAAAACATATGTACAATACTCTTTGACATTTTTTATAAAAATAATTCATAATTTTAAGCTAATCTATAGGAAAAAATATCTTTTGAAAAACAAAATCCAAAACGATTTTCATTTTTCAAAAACTTAGAATAAATCACGAAGTTGGTTTTTTTTATGGTTTGTAGTTAAATGAAAACGCCTAAAAATATAAAAAAATACACTGAACTCATATTTTTTTTATAGAAAAAAAACATTTGAACTTTAAATCTTTCTATTTGTTCATCCTTTACCGAACCAATTATTTCTCAAAAAAAGTATGGACGATTTTGAATTTTGTCCGCTTTGTTTTTTTACTATGACTGATTTAAACAAACATTTAGTGAACATTGATCGAATTGTTAAAATACTTATGGAAACTGTATACATCTATTTGAAATTTTGAATCTGTCGAGTTAGTGAGTGATAAATTTTATCAAAACTACATTATACTAAATTATCATGATGAAGCGATTTTCAGAGTTTGTAGCTGCTCACTCACTACTGAGCTTCAATGTAGACGAATATGGACGAGTATGTGTGGAAATAAATCTTCCTTTCCACTTCTGTATATTCTACTTAGGCTAACCCCATTTGTGCGACGGTAGTAATAAAAAGAGCTAAAAGTTTTCATGAAAAGCCGGACGAATGGAGTTCACCGAAAACAATGGACAAAGTTGTACAACATTGTGATTTGTTTTAAATTCGACATGAATACCGATGAATGCCAACTCAATGATCAATAAACAAGTTTTTAGTGTTCACATGCACAAAAAACAAAACCGCAGATCCTGATTTCTATTCCTAGATGAGGGATCGGCGTTGTGCACTGATAATGAGTTGTATACTACAGCAATATACTAATTATGGTTTAACATGAAATATAATTAACCTTTTACTTATCTTGTTGATCAGTTAATTTTATTTTACAACGAAATAAGTCAGAGTTTGTTTTGATTTTTTTTAAAAAAAAGATCTGTTTAAATTAGTTTAACCGATTAAGTTATTATTATTATTAACTTGAAGGTAAAAAACTCCAAAAGAAAGAAGGTTGCTATTACAATCATTCATGGAAGTATATTTTATGACAGAGAGGGAGAGAGAGAGGGAGAATAGATTTCATGACTCGGTTGTTAATTAATCAGGTCATTGGGTTATATTAGTTAGTTGTATATAACATGAAGGTTTATCAAAAATTATTTAAGGAGTATTTTTTTATTTGCTTCACGAAATCGAAACGGAATCCTATTTACGATAATAATAATAATAATAATTTTAATAATCACGGAAAGTTCACTGAGTTTCATCTCTTTCTTAAATTAGGAAAAAATTAGAAATAACATTGCTTAAATTAAATGCAAACATTTGAAAAATTCATCTTAGTTAATAGTGAAATGAAGAACAGTAATAAACTTTCATTCAAAATTCAATTTCATTGTAGTATTGAACCTTGAACAAAATTCCATATCAGTTTGTTTATTTGATTCAAATTATTCAAGAATGTTCTTGTTGGGGATGTTAGATCCCCAGAACTCGCTTGTTAAATGCCTTAATTTTTGATTTCATGTTTGCAAGCATGGGCTGATCAGTTGACCTTGAGATTTCATGTCCCAACACGAAAATCCATGGCTGTGATTGGTTGCTGTGTATTTTAATGTGCTATTTTCGTAACTGTCCGAAGGACGTTTCTATGATGTATAAATAAACGAGAGTTGTATGCTTGATTTTATTGTGATTGCTGGATGTCTGTAGAATATACTTTCTACGCTTACAAAGCCTTCTGTTTACAGCTTGGGATTCAAGGTAGCCTATCTGGACGCTGGTAATTGTCTCATTCGCGTTTATCGACTAAGGTGAACTCGTAATAGCTTCAAGCGTACCTAGTGACGAGCGATCAAACCAAAACATGGCAGAAATCCATGAAGTCACTGACAACTGGATTGAGACATGTTAGTAGATGTAGATAACTCGATTTGGGTCCGCGAGACGAAAGTCACCAATGGCTAGGGACCTTGAACGATATGGCTCAGAATCATTTGCAATGGCGCAGGTACATCCACTCTTTGTGTTCTCTCAAACTCTAAACTTCTGAATTCCTCATCATCTCTGTCTTTCTCTTTTTACATTTATCTAATTGAATTATACTTCTCAAATCATATCTTCGAACCTTGATCTTCTCCATGATTGCTAATACTTATACTATCTCTACCAGGGCTGGATTTAAGCAGGCAGTTGCGTCTCTATGCTGATGTAGTATGGCAACCTGAACTGATGTATGTACGTTAGAAGTTCTACCTTGTAACTGACTGACTGTGAATTAAAGATTTTTGTGGCTGAATAAAAACTTATTCAGTATTTAGAACTAAGAAACATCTTACTGCCTATCTATTACTGGTGAGTAATTACTTTCTTGTATTCATTCGCGCAAAACATATATACACATGAAATGAACCGCCATCCGTAGTGCACTGTTTTTTTCTTCATTTTAACCAATAATTATTGATTTGCGATTGTTGACATAACATTGACAATTGAACTTGTCAGATATATATTCTTGTTTGAATAATGCTTCCATTATGTTGTAAGTGTCACATCAAACCCGATTCTTCTTTTCAAAAATTATTAAGTTATTTCCACAAAATAAAAATATAGGAATGTTCATGTGTTATAATTCTAGGTTAAACACAAATATACTACTCATACATTTGAAAAAATCTTGAGATGTTGAAGGAAATTTGTAGCTCAGGTGGAGGATTGTGATGGTGTTTCGTTGTTTGAGTTGGATGTTTTGGTTGTGAAGCTTTCATTGTCCTTCTACTGAACCACATCATCATCACAAACTTCAGACAGAAGTGAAGTATTCGAATTTCTCCACACTTGACCTGTAGCTTGTTCTGTTAACCTCGATCCTGACTGCTTAATGTTGACCTTCAACCTGTCGTTGTTTGCACCTTTGTTTCGATTGTATCCCTCTTTTGATCTGTTTCTTGATCCCATGTTCCCCATGATTTTTCTGATTGGTTGATAAATTGGTTTAGTAACGATGTGATTGTTAAATGCTGATTGACCTGAGTGCAAAGCTTCTAAAAATTCTCTAGTGCTCTTTGTCCTCCCTTTATCCAGCATTTCCACATTGTCCCAATCGAATGTATGTCGATAATAGTCGGTGTGTATTGATATCAGCGAAGAATTGTCGTGGCGTTTAACTTAAACGAAGCCGAAGAGGCTGTCCACTTTGTTGTATGTAGTGTTTTTCATAATCTGAGCAATATATTTTGAAGATGATGCCTGGTTTTTCTTCCTTTGGTCTACATAGGATTGATATAAGTGAATCTGTTGATTTGTGTGCCACACCTACTCCAAATGATTTCAGTAGTCGTTCTGTATGCTCCGATATGTCTTTTATCTATGGTAGGATGATCCGTTTATTGGTCCTATACTTGATTTCACTTCTGCTTGGACGATCTCGGTTGATATTTTCTGATGAAATCTGTATGACTTAAAAACTTACATCAAAATCAAATTGTACCAGTTCTGGATTCGGTCTTTTTATCTCATCTCTTTAGTTAGTTAGCTTGTTAGTTAATTAATGAAGTGTGAACTGATTCAGTCAGTAACTTTTCATCATTTATTTTAGCTTTACTAACATTATCTTGCGGCGTTGATTGTGATTATTATTATCGGCCTTTCTTTGTTATGTTTTTGCAATAAATTGTCATTGGGGATGTATAGACTTACTACTTATCAAGTAATTAATTATGTGTATAAAATGTGTTTACTGAAGCAAATGGTTTTCTTAAAAAAACGAAATATTTATAGCTTACTTTGATTAAATTTTTCGGAGGGAAAAAATAGAGGGTTTTCTGTTCGTTTACCCACAAATTATTGGTACCCGCACACACAAACACGCATACACACACTAAAGTAAGCATCAGAGTAAAAAAACATTATTAGCCTCTCAAAACTATAACCAAACTGTTTCACTTCATTTGATTTTTGTAATGATTGAATCTGAAAATGTAATTGACCGGTGTGTTTAAGAAAAAAATTATCAACGATTTCTTTGCCATCGGCAAAATACAGAAAATAAGCTTTTTCAAAAAATGGCGGAGCAGAAATGTGTAGCTCAAGCGTATGAATAATTGTCAATGGAGTTTTGGTTATCATTGAGCTCTTCAACCGAAACATTTTCAGCTCAAAGAATGGAACCGTATTCACAAAATCTTTCAAAGGCATTTAGTGGATGACCAATTCTTTGTGGTTGTGTAATGTTAGTCGCCGAGTTCATCATTTTAGTGGCCCGTTCTTTATGATTTTCGACTATGCTGTGAAGTAAATACCTCCCTTTTAGTTTCCGTATGAATCATACTTAGACGAACGCGGTCTGTGCAACGATGGTAACTAGAAGCCGAATACGGATTCGGCGGGATGAGCTTCTTTCAAGCAATCGTTCTTGCAGACAGACAGAAGAATACATAGAGCTTGAAAGTAAACCAAAGAGAAGTGGAGAAGGCCCTCGAGCCAACTTCATACGATAAGGCATGTCGCAGCATTTATAGTCGGACAAAATAAGCTAGATATGCATTAAGCGAAGAAAGTAAAAAAACCAAGATATGAGCGAATGATTGACCAGTTCAAAAGGCAATGTGAATTATGTGGCTTGAGAAGAATTGTCCAGAACTAACCCTGTAAGCTCAGCATATTCAGGACACACACTACAAGGTCCTCTTGTAGAAAGCCGTACATTAATTTGAGTACACACACTATAGACACTATTTTCGAAATATATATATGATTTTGGTTAACCGACAAGCCCGCTGCACATACACATCGCTGCTTTTTAGGCAACACAACGACTTTCACTTGAGCCGTTTAGTGATCACCCCTGCCCTAATCGGGAACATACATGTTGTCCAGTTTGGCCTGCAAGCAGGTCGGATGTCCAAAAAGCACGCATACGAACAGTGGCCCCCGTTAGGGCACTTATGAATCAGCAAGATCCCTCCACCAATCCACTACTCTAAATCCCTAATCGGCATAGGCGACAAGGCGGGCTTATCCGGCTGGAACAGACACTCTGAACGGATTACCGATCCACCCAGCATTGCACTAACCAGCAGCCGTTCCAACCGTCTGGCTTCCAACTGCCTTGAGCTGATCTTACATGAAGCTAATGATCGAAATTATCCCACAAGGTCAGCAGGAACGTACACACTCCCATGGGGAAGATGTCATGGACTCAACCAAGAGAAAGCACTCGGCCAAGCTGGGTTAATCCCACAGAAGTGGGTAGACATCATTGGTGTCCAATACCCTTTAGCACCGGATCACGTAACCCAACTCGAGACCCTTGTTTAAGGCTCCTCGACGCCAGTTTAGACAATACACCGAGATGCAGAGTGTTTGGGATAACCACATAGGGTCGGTGTCCATAGTCCAGGATCTCTACGGATGCTTCCACAAACACAACATCTAAGGCCGCCTTCAACCATCCTGGAAAGCTACATCCCTTCCAAGGTATTTGCTACTACGGAATGATCGAGGTCAAGTCCTCAAACCATTATCGCAATTTACCTACGCTCGATGGACGGGATTCAGACTTAGAGGCGTTCAGTCCTAATCCCCCAGAGTGGCTAGCCGCACCCAGAACCTTCAGCTTCTGCAACCTCATCCATTGTCTTCGGGGGCACTGCTTTACACATGAACTTGGTTCAACTTCACTGATCATGACTTTTCATTAGAACTCAGACAAATTTCGTCATGGAGCTGGTCACTAGTATGCACATGTAATTTGTATTATAGGGTTGTAGAGGTTGTTGAGTTACGGCAATTCAATACTTCCTGGTTTCTAATGATGTTCTAACATTGATCCATTCATGATATCAAAAAAAGTAACTCAACAATCTTCACAACCCCATAATGAAAATTATAGATATGTGACTGAATAGCTTAAACACCGAATGGAGGTTAAGTAATCATAGAAAATCCTCAATAAAATTAGTAGGCTGAAATCGATTCACAAGTGAATAAGTAAGTACTTGAGATCAAGTTATCTTCTCTAAAAGAAAGCTAAAAATCAAAGGTTACTTGCGTAAACTATCTAAAGCATAAAATGTATTTTGATTGTCACTCGACTATTTGATCCGATTTGTGAAAATCGTTTAAACGATTGAGATAATCCTGCTACTCACAGGGTTTTGAGATGGTAGAGAAAACTTGTTTCCAAAAAACGGTTATCCACGCAACTTCATCACAAAAACATCAACCAAAACCGTCAACAGAAGCCGAAATCAAGTACAGAAACCAATAAATGGATCATCCTACCATATATAAAAGACATATCGGAGCATACAGCACAACCACTGAAATCATTAGGAATAGGTGTGGCACACAAATCAACAGAATCACTTCAATCAATCTTATGTAGACCAAAGGACGAAATGACAAAAGAAGAAAAACCAAATACCATGTACAAACTGAATTGCTCAGACTGTGAAAAACACGACATAGGACATATTGGACGGCCTCTTCAGCTTCGTTTACGTGAACAACAATTAGCAGTCAAACGCCACGACGATTCTTCGCTTATATCAATACACACCGACAATTATGGACATACATTCGATTGGGGAAATGTGAACATACTGGATAGAGTGAGGACAAAGAGCACTAGAGAATTTTTAGAAGCTTGGCACTCAGATCATTCAGCAACCAGCAAACATATCAACATTGACCCGATTTATTAACGAATCAGAAAAATCATGGGGAACATGGGATCAAGAAACATATCAAAACGGGGATATAATCAAAACAAAGGTGCAAACAACGACAGGTTGAAAGTCAACAACAACCAATCAGGATCGAGGTTAGCAGAACAAGCTACAGGTCAAGTGTGGAGAAATTCGAATACTTCACTTCTGTCTGAAGTTTGTGCTGATGATGTGGTTCAGTAGAAGGACAATGAAAGCTTCACAACCAAAACATCCAGCTCAGAGAACGAAACACTACCACACTCACAGGGTTCGAACCTTCAGTCTTGCGCGCAAACGCTTAACCTCTGGATTACTGGGCAGGCAGAAATCATGAATGCACACTGCTGATGAGTCCTCTACCAGGACAAATTGGCCGTCCAGTGCTTACAGATATCTAAGGATGGACAGACTAACTATTTTATGATTTCACTTATATTCCAAAGTCTTATTATTAAAATATCTTACCATATATTTTTATTTCTTTTCATGGTTCATCCATCAGTCGTCTTGTTTTCTAAAAAAGGCAGTTTATCAATATTCTTTCAAGGATCAAACTTAAGAACACAAATCCGACAGGATAATCATTTTTGTACGATTTAAAAATCTATCTAGTCTATCCAATTCATTGTTATCTGTTTTGTTAATCAACACACTTATCGAACTTTCAGCATAAAAAGACATAAATAAACTAAAATTTTAACTTCCTCTTCCACAAAAGATTCAATATTATTTATAGCGCTACAAAATATATAGTTTATTTTTTTGAATTTTGAACAATGAACACAACAGACATATTGTTTAAACAAATTAATTTAAACAAACTAAGCCTTTCATTATTGTATTATTGAAGAAGAATATAAAAATTAATTCCAGTAAGTAAAAAAAAGTTTCCTTTTTTTTCACAATTTTGTTTTATTATTTTCATTTTAATGAACTGTTAAAGGTCCAATTTTTTTTTTGAAACCGTTGAATTTCTTTATTTTTTATTTTTGATGATTTTTAGGTAACCAAACGTTATAATTCTCTCACCACACAATATAACACAACAAACATGTTCTTTGCACGTATCAATCATTGCCTAATTCTATATTTGTGCATTGCTGTGTTCATTGTTTCAATATCTAAAGCAAAAGACTCCAAATGTAATATTTCAGCTTGCGAGTAAGTTGATGTTGTGAAGTTATTTTTTTTTTGTCAATTAAAAAAAAGGCCCACTGATTAGTGAAATCACATAGAAGATAGTTTGGAACTGTACAGTGCAACTCATCTAAATTGATCTGAGTTTTAATTTCTAGACATGTGACCCCAAATTCATCGAATGTTGTTGTGTAGATTTATTCACGTCATTATATCCTATGACTATTTATCGATCGCCAACAATGGGTAACTGTCATACTTAGTCGAAATAGCTGTCCTGTGGTTCTGAATTTTCATCGTTTATGATTTTAATGAAATTTGACTCCATACTGATAAATGTATTAATTCTCTTCTTTTTCGTATGTTTAATTACTTAACAGTAACTTGATACTTGTTTTTAAATCAATTAGCCACCAAATTATTTACCTTAATGATTAGAAGACTGGATAACAGGAATTTGAATAGTTCAGAACGAAATATCATTTATGAAGTTGGTTATGAAATTTTTTTTACTGATGAATGTTTAAAAGATTGAAAGCTTATTTAATTTCTTCTAACGAACTAATAATTACTTTGAAATCGAAAAAAATCGATCGATGTTAGATTACTATTAGAAACCTGGAAGCACTGGACGGCCATTTCGTCCTGGTATTGAACTCATCAGCAGTGTGCGTCCATGACTGTTACTGGTGAGAACCAAGGATGGGACTATCGGTCTCCTGAGAGAACGCTTAGTCTCTAGATCACTGATTCGGCATGAAACGGTGCTATTGTAGAACTTGAATTAGTTCAGAATATAGTGCGCGCAAAACTGAAGGTCATCTATAAGAATCTTGAGAGTGCCAGGTGTCGTGGATGCGCACTGCTGGGTAGAAATCAGTATTATATGAAGCTCATGTATATTCAATGTTTTAATTAGAAAATGATATGAGAATCTTATTGAAATTAGACATCAACACCGTTGGCTCCTGGCTCACTCTCAAAGAGGTTAAATGTTATCATGTATGACCGAATGCTCTAGGTTCCATTTTCTTAGGCGGCTTACAAGTTCCATACCACGGTTAAGACGTCTGTTTAGTGCTTCTAGGTTTCCGATGATTGTCTAGAATTGTCAATGATTCATGAATTTAATGAAACTCAACAATCTCCACAATGAAATCTCTAATGAATATAACAAATACAAATTAACATACGATTTTTGTTGAGGACATTAGATCCTCAGAGCTCACTTGGAAAAGGTCCTGATTTTGTGATTAATTATTGAAATTTTGAATTTTTATGATTTGCGCGCCAAGACATGTTCAGATGACCTACAGCTTATATTTTCCACTCGGAAAATCCTTGACTATCATTGGTTGATGGTATGCTATTTTTTGGCTCTCTCAAAGGCGTTTCTGTCATTGAATAAATAAGCTTGATTTGTGTGCAAAGCAACCTCATATTTTCTGGGTGCTTTTACAATACACTATCTACGTCTTATCAAGATTTCTTCCTCTAGTTAGTCAGACCTGAGACAATTGGATTAGAATAGTCTATCGTATCAATGAGTCATTGATCTTCGCTCTGTTTATCGAGTACGGTGAACTCGTAATGTGGTGCGAGCTACTTATAAGTAGTATATGACGTGAGTGAAAACGTAATGTCTGGCAGCAGAAGATGGGGGAAGATCAAGAAAGGAAGAGTGGAAACACAATGGAATTTGTATGAAATGCATGAATAAGTGAAATGTCAGACAATGGATTGATGATGGATTGAAGATTTGCAAATTAACGATTTACGATATGGTTTTCCGATTTTACTGAGTAACTCTGTAATTTTCGTTAAATACAATTCGGTTTCCCTCACCTGTGTTCTCCTTCACTACAGTTATAGGATTCAAGTATATCAATTGACGAATATATCAATTTCGATCTGCCTCTTAGTTTACATTACCTATGTGTTTATAGATTTTGAAATTTCTCTTTTTTCTAGTTCTTCAATATTGTTCAATGTTCAAGATTTGAATTTTATTTGACTCTAAGTAAATTATAATCAAGATTCAATAGATACAATCTGTGGAATTTGTTTTATTTTTTTGGTTTTTTCTTTTTTACAGGAGATGTATGTTAAATGAACAAATTTCTATGAATGAATGTTGTTCAATTCCTTCTATTCATGGTGTTTGTAGTTTTTGTGATCAAAATTCTGAAACGGAAGATGATATGTCAGATTGTCTTTGTAAGTAATAGTCTATTATAATAAATTAATTCATGAGTGCTAGACCACCGTTTGAAATCTGTAAACACTGAATAGATGTTTCGTCCTAGTCTGCGACTCAGAAACAGTGCTCATCCATGACGCCCGCATGTGGCAGTCTAACCTAGGACCTTCGGTCTCTTAAACGAATGCCTAACCTATAGACCAATGCCCAAAACCCAACAGGATTAGTTTACTCTGGTCCTGACTACTTGCTAGAACACAGAAAACTTCAACGCAAATCTAATCACTATGGAGTATTCATTAGTGAGCAAATTCATGATGAAGTTTTCTGTGTTCTTGTCAGAGGTCCGATCCACTGGAGTTCAACCTTGTCAGGTATAGGCAGTAACTACCGAAGTTCAGGTATGAAGTTGTACAATATCGAGAAATAATTGAAATCCACCAATAACACCGTCAGATGCAGACTCAGTAGTCCATAGGTTTAGCATTAGTACACAACTTCGAAGGTCCTGGGTTCGAATCCCGAGAGTAGCGGTAGTCACGGATGCTCACTGCTGATAAGTCGCATACCAGAACAGAACGGCTGCCCAATGCTTCGAGGTTTCTAACGATGATCTAACAACGAATGGTTCGTGATTTCAATGGAACTCAACAATCTCCATAACTCCTAAACGAAAATCGATTATTTGTTTGAATCATAATGTTTCATCATATAAATGAGTAATAAATGAAATTGACAAACTAATTTCAAATAATTCAAATTCCAATAAATATTTATACTCATACTACTGAAATATCTTTATAGTAGTAGAAAGTTAAGTTAGTTTTTAAAACATCAACAGATGAATCATCCCGTCACAGCGCTTGGGCACAAGCGATTTCGAGCCAACTCTGTTCTGATCGTCTTTGTTCTTTAGTGATCTTGCCCAGATACGTAAATTTTCCACATGTTCCAGGGCTTCTCTATCCAGTTAGTGATTTGGTCGGTGAATATTGTGTCTGGCTATTTCCTTTATGTATATTGAAACCTACTGCTTCAGAGGCTGCCGCTTCGCTGACCGCGTTCTCCTGCACATATTATTTTGTATGTGGCATAGAAGAGTTGGGCAAAAATCATCACTGTGCATCCAAACTATTCATTATTGTACTGCGCACTAAAAAAAATGCTAACCATTGAAAAAAATATTTTCAATCAAAGATGAGATCACGTAATTAAAATAAACTGACAGACTAAATATCTGTTACACATAGATTTATCATAACAGATAAACGCCTTACCGATTATAAAGAGGCATTTTAAAAACTAAAGTACCATCAAAATAAGATTATACATATCACATTACTTCTTGTGATAATAATCGTGATCAAGGTTCTATTCAATATTATACGCCTAATACAATAAGTAAATAATTGACACCGTAGAATATTTCATAACAAGTTTTCTTTTCAAGTACATAATGTCAGTCACTTCGATATCTTGAAATGTACTATTTATTTTAAACTACGCGCCCAATCAAATTTTTTGAAATAATAAACATAATTGACGTGTTAAAACAAACAGGAAAGTAAATAAATGGTCAAACAGGTCGCTCGTGAATATTTATGGTAGACATGATACTTTAGTACAACTGACACACACACATGCACAGACTGTTTATTCATTGAATCAGTTCAATGCCGACCATCTTTTTGTTTAAATAAAAACGTTTTCTATTTATCTAATAAATTTCTAAAATTCCTATTATTAATATTCATTCAAATTACTTTATCACTTATGATAATTGGAATTTCCATTGTAGTGACCTATTCTCGAGTGATGTTCAAACGACGAGGAATGATTGGCAAACGTCGTGGATTTATGGGTTAAGAAATAATTAGATGACTTCAATTTGAAGAATGAACAATAGTGTTATTTCCGAGAGACATATATTTATATACAGAGAGTGACAGAGAGTGCGAAAAACATTATCAAATAATATATAAATATATAAATATATATATATTTATAAATATATAATATCTATATTTCATTTCATGTGATCTTTTATTAATCAAAAGAAAAGATTGTTTACAAAATACAGCATTTTGAATGTGAAAAGGAGTTGATTTTTGAAGAAAAGATTAGGATTTTTCGAGTGAGATTACTATTTACTCAACGGTTTTGATTAAAAATTCCCAGAAGTGAACTCGTCTGATTATGAGGGTTGAAATGAAATGTTTGTGAATCTTAGTGTACGGAATTAAGAAAGAGATTTAAGGTTAGGAGGTAGGTTTTGGTTTTCAACGGGGACTAATATCAACTATAATAGTGTGGAAACTGATGTTCTGGTCATATCTATGAAGAAATTTCACATTGAAATCCAAGCTTTGCTATTCTGAAGTCTGTTTACATCAAAATCATGAATGAATCATTTCTGGACTACTATTAAAAGCCTGAAAGCACTGGACAACCGTTTCGGTCTGATATGGAACTCATCAACAGAGCGTATCCACATGACTCCAGCTACCCATAGGGTTTAGTTTCACTGGAATCCTGTGGTTTCAATGTCTAACTTTAATAAATCCGAGGCATTGCGCAACCTCACTCATTGTCGTCGGTGGGTAAATAACTACACCCGATAGGGTTGAGCTGTACTGGTCACTTCTTCTCGCTAGAATTTCTTCACGGAGCTAGTCATTAGACTGAAGGTTCTATGTTCGAATCGTACGAATAGCAGGTGTCGTGAAGTTATATGCGAGAAACTATTCACTCATTAAGTAATAGTGTGACTATCAGTGAAATCCAGAACTATTGTATAACATTTCAGTAAAACCGGTATGCAAAAGTACCACAGAGTTTGATATGAAGATAGATAGATAATGGCCAGAAGTAAAATCCATGTTGATACGCGTTTCGTCGGATTCGGGATGTGTATTGCTGGTCACTATCCACTATTTATGCATGTAACCTAATGGGTTTATCAGGTCAGTTTGCACAGGATGTATATATGTCATAACAGACTGATTAGTTGCAGTGTTAATTACCAACGGGACGATTAAGTTACAAATACTATTTTCTCCTTAAATATAACTTATCTATGTCATTGAAGGGAACTCTAATGCCTGAAATGAGTTGCATATTGGTGGAGAAAATTTTTTGTTCAAGTGGTTGATTGTGCTGGTGTTTCGTACTCTTAAATGGATGTTTTGGTTATAGAGCTTTCATTGTTCTTCTACTGAACAACATCAGCACAAACTAAAAGTACTAGAGGTAAATTCTTCGAATTTTTCCACATATATTACTCATAGCTTATTCTCTTAACCTCGATCTTGATTAGTTGTTGTTGACCTTAAAGCTGTGGTTGTCTGCACCTTTATTTTGATTGTATCACCCTTTGATCTGTTTCTAGATATTATGCTTGTCTATGATTTTTGATTGCTGACTGACTTGAGTGTTTTGCTTCTAAACATTCTCTAGAGCTCTTTGTTCTCCCTCTATCCAGTATTTCCACATTGTTCCAATCGAATGTATGTCTATAATAGTCGGTGTGTATTGATATAAGCGAAGAATTGTCGTGGCGTTTGACTGCTAATTGCTGTTCACGTAAACGAAGCTGAAGAGGCCATCCACTTAGTCCTGTGTAGTGTTTAGCACAATCTGAGCAATTTATTTAGTGAATGATGTTTGGTTTTTCTTCCTCTGTCATTTTGTCCTTTGGTGTTTACATAGGTTTAATTGAAATGATTCTGTTGGTTTATGTTCTACACCTTATTCCAAATGGTCTCAATAGTCGTGCTGTATGCTCCGATATGTCTTTTATATATGGTAGGATGATCAGTTTGTTGGTTCCTGCTCCTGAATTCACTTCTGAACTGCATGTTCATTGACGCCTTTAGAAACCGGGAACACTATGATTGGACTTACGACATATATACGACGAAATGGAGTTACGACTCGCACATCAGTATTAATCATTTTTGGGATGTGGTTCCTGATTATCTCAAAGCAGCATCAGTTATTCAGTCAGTTGCAACGTAGAACTTCGTACGTATGTACATCAGTTCATGTTGCCATACCACATTTACACAGAGACGCAAATGTCAAATCAAATCCCATAGTGATAGAGATAGTAGACGTATTAATGGTAATGAAGAAGACTAGAGTTCGAAGATATTATTCAAGAAGTATAATTTAGTGAGATGAGGTTAGAAAGACAAAGGTAGAGGTGCTGACGATTCCAGAAGATTAGGATTTGAGAGAGCACAATGAATGGATGCACTTGCACCATTGCAAACGATTTTGAGCCATGTCATTCAAGGTCTCTAACCACTGATGACTTTCGTCCCGCGGACCCCAACCAGGTAGTCTACATCTACCAACATGACTCAGTCCACTTGTCAGTGACTTCATAGATTTCTGCCATGTTTTGGTTTGGCCGGCTCTAAATTTCTTCCAACCTACTCCTACACCACAAAACATAGCTCGTCGAGGCAGTCGGTGGTTAGGCATACGTAACACATGTACCAAACCACCTCAACTGATGAAGTCTCACCACTTCATCTATTGATCTGCCATCCTTACCTAGTACTCGTTTCCTAACGACAGCATTGCTTACTCGCTTGTCCAAGCATCTGTTTTCAAGTTTCATTGCTAGCGAAGTTATCAAACGAATAATGTTTAGATATAACCTGATGATCTATAAATTAACTGAGAATATCCTGCCTAAATCAATGAAACATACAATATTGAAAGCTACAAACTTTCCGGATAGTCTATACCAATGTATTTGGTGTAACAGAAGTCATTAATAGTTCTTGTGTCGAATCTTGCTTCAGTTCGACTCAAGTTTGTCAGCGGAATAACTGAAGCAATCTGAACAGTTAGTCTCAGCACATACCAAGTTCTAGCCTCAGATAAGAGCAGCAATTAGAAACTTACTCAAAACTTTATCTCAGTTGATAGAGATTCTATAGAAACTACAACGAATCCCGTTGATTCGAGACTCAACGAGATTTACCAGTGTGACTAAAAATTCAACTGTTAGACAACACTTTTATTTATTAATAAAGAACGCTAATTCGCCTGAAACTTCATATAAACTTATTGAAACCTTAGATAAGCAGTGAACACTAAATGTCAACATAGATCTTCTGGCTTCTGACTTCATATGTCCCAATAATACAATAAAAGCAGATGATAGAACGTCTAGTCTTAACTCAAGAACTTTACGAAACACTGTTAAAATTAAGATGCTTAAACCATATATAAAGAAAGTTTACACACAAGTATCTACTATCAAACTTAAACACTAGATTTAATCCGTCTAATCATAGGGTAGGTTTTATAGGCAGATAATCAAGAAATTGTCAGCCCACCATTTCAGCATCCTAGCTAAACCTACAAACAAAAGATGAGACCCCTTTTTCTAAATCACTTGATTTGCGAAATGCCCGTCACAACTTAAATATAAGCAGACCTCTTAGCATACGGGAGGAAAAATCCAACATGTCTCACGTTGAAATGGTGCAGGTGGTGGTAGGTGGATGATTGTGATGGAGAGAACGAAACTCCACCAGAATGTCTCATGTTCGAACACAAACATTTTTATGCACTGAATCTGCAATCTGTAACTATCCTCCTCATTTCCGTAATTAACGAGGTGATCGACTAGGTTATGTATTATGTAACTCAACTCCAGCAAGCTATCGATTTTATTGACTGTCTACTAAGTCAATTTCCGCAAATAAGTTTATCTTACCGTAACAATGACTTTTTTCAGTCCACCGATGCTATTTCTCACATCAACAAATATCCTCTCTCTGTATCATTCAAGTTACTAGTATATTTTCAACACTCTATGATAACTATGATAACTTATTCTCCAACCTACTCTGTCGCGGGCTTTCCTTTCCAGTTCTGTCCGATTTTGGTCCACTCTTTTCATGTCTGTATTTGCTTTTCGGCGTAACGGGTTCTTTGGCCTTCCGCTTTTCCTTTGACCTTGAGCGTTCTATGTGGGGGATTGTCTTGTGACGTAGTTGGGTGATTTCTGATTTTTTCCTCAGCTGGAATCTGGTTTTGTTCTCTCCCACAGAAGGTTGTTACTGATGGCGTCTGGTTAATGTGTACAAAGCATTTTGCATAGATAACCATTAATAAACACTTGAATCTTTTGGACGATGGCTTTCGTAGTTCTCCAAGTTTCTGCTCCATACAGTAGAGCTGTATTAACGTTCGTATTGAAAATTTTGACTTTGGTGTCTGTTGATAGTCTTTTTGAGTTCCAGATGGTGTTTAATTGTAGAAATGAAAACGTTACTTTGCCGATTCGCGCCTTCATTTCTACATCAGATCACACCCTGCTCGTCAACGATGCTGCCCAGAAGATATGTAAAGGTTTTTACGTCCACCAAGGCATCTCCAACAAGATTCGTTTGGTTGTTGTATGTTATGTTGTATCAGAGAATCTTGCTTTTCCATTTATGTATGTTGAAATCTACTGCTCCTGAGGCTGATGCTACACCATTCGTCTTCTCTTGTATTTGTTGCTGCACATGAGACAGAAGAGCCAGATCATCTGTAAAGTCTAAATTATTTAGCTACATCCGGGCTGTCCATCGTATATTGTGCTTCTAGATGTTGACGTCTTCATAATCCAGTCGATCACCAGTAGAAAGAGAAAGGGTGAGAGTAAGCAACCCTGACTGACACCAGTCTTCACCTCAAACGAGTCTGTTAGCTACCCTCCGAGCATGATTCTGCAGTTTGATCCATCGTAAGAATTCTGTCTGATACTGACTATCTTCAGGTGCAAGCCGTACGGTGAAAGAAGTCTCCGTAGTGTTGTCGTATCCACACAATCAAATGCTTTCTTGTAGTCAGTGAAG